GGGGAGCCATGAGTTCCAACCCAGCCTGGCACACCTCGGCTGGGTGTCTGGCTGCTGGGACCCACGAGGGACAGACGGTGGGTGCTGTGACACAAGGGGAAGCCCAAACTGGGATGTGGGCAAGGGAAAGCAGCTGGTGCAGTAGCAGCCTGTGCAGGGAGACGAGTCCTTAATGAACTAGGCTTCACTTCCCCTCGCTACTTAGAGAGCAACCTGCTGCTTGCTTGCACAACTGGTGTTCAGTTCCTTCTGTTCCCCTCCTTGTATGCTGACAGAGATAAAAATGAGGTTATTTTTAGATAACTGATGAAAAGACTATGCAGAATTTTCCTTTGTGTTTTTTTTTGTGGTGCTCTTTTACATTGTTTCCTCAGCAAGGACGTTGCTTAACTATTTCAAGGCTCATTCCAAATAATGCATTTGTTGTGTTCCCTGGATAATTTAATGTTATATAGTTCTGAATGTTGTGGAAGTAACCAAAATCTTGTCCTTCTCTTCACAAATTCAAATCATAGAATAGTTATGGTTGGAAGAGACCTCAAAGGTCATCCAGTTTGAATCCCCCTGCCATGGGCAGGGACACATCCCACTACACCAGGTTGCTCAAAGTCCCATCCAGCCTGGCCTTGAACACTTCCAGGCATGGGGCAGCCACAACTTCTCTGGGAAACCTGTGCCAGTGCCTCACCATCCTCACTGTAAAAAATTTCTTCCTTAGATCTCATTGAAATCTCCCCTCTTTCAGTTCAAAGCCATTGCCCCTTGTCCTGTCATTACACATCCTTGTCCAAAGTCCCTCTCCAGCTTTCTTGTAGCCCCTTTAGATACTGGAAGGCTGCTGGAAGGTCTCCCTGGAGCCTTCTCTTCTCCAGGCTGAACAGCCCCAACTCTATCAGCCTGTCTCCATAGCAGAGGTGCTCCAGCCCTCGCATCATCTTCATGGCCCCCCTTTGGACTCATTCCAGCAGCTCCATGTCCTTAAAAATGACAACAAATACTTGAATCTTTGATGATTGTTACTAGAACCAATTCTCAACCTCATTCCTTAAACCGAACATGGTTTTGAACAGCTTGAGTGATTAACCGGCTTTGTTTCTCACTAGGACGCCGGCCAGAAGCATTTTGGTGCCGTAGTTTGCAAGTCGTGTGGCATGATCTACACAGCCACTAGCCCGGAGGATGAAGCCCAACACATCCAGCACCACGAGAGGTTCCTCGAGGGACTCAGATACGTGGTAAGGAGGCAGCTGCGCTCGCAGCTCGGCTGAGGAAGATGGGGGGTGAAGAGGTGCGTGATATTCAGGTACAAAGTTGAGACAACTGTAAGCAAATGTTTTGTCATCCAGAGGGGAGGTTAAAGTGTAAGTTAGGCCGTTCCAGCAAATGTCGGCCTTCATTGGATTGATAAATGTGACTTGACTCTATTCCTGAAAGCTGAAGTGGTTCAGATTACAGCTTCATCTGCCAGAGTCTTCATTGAATCACTTCCTCTCCCTTGCTAGGCCACTAACTTGTTTGTTTGGGTTTTTTTTTCCCCTCTGTGGCAGGGTTGGAAGAAGGAACGGGTTGTGGCAGAGTTCTGGGATGGGAAAATTGTACTGATTCTTCCAAATGACCCAAAGTATGCTGTCAAGAAGGTACGTGTTTGTTTATTTTGGGGTTTATATTGTAGATTAGCTTTCTGCTGGCTCACCTCCCAGAACTACCTCAGTGTGTGATCATACGTCGCTTGCCAGTGCACAGGGCGAGCGGGAGAGCTGAGTGGGGTTGTGGCAGCGATCTGGGTTGCTGCAGACACCCACCCTGACACGTCTCAACCCTGCTCCCTGCACTGAAGCTCATGTTCTTACGTGGCCAACATAACCTGATCTTTTCTGTCCCAAGGATGGGGGTGAGAGGCAGGTGTCCTCTGCGAGAGGTGTAGTGGGATGAAAACATGAGCGAGAGCCTGTTCTTTAATGTTCTCTACACAGTTAGAGCCTGATCTTGTATAAGCACAGGCTTATTTGGGGGAACGAATCCCCCCTTTCTGACAGCTTTCTCACCAAAGAACACACGTGTTAGTTCCTCCTAATACAGCTCTCTCTGGTTTTGTTTTCTTAGGCAGAAGATGTGCGAGAAATTGTAGATAATGAATTGGGATTTAAGCAAGTTTCTTTGAGCTGCCCAGCCAAGACTAAAATATACTTGTTTGTGTCCAATGAGAAGATGATTGTTGGGTGCTTAGTGGCTGAATCAATCAAGCAGGTATGTATTTAGTTGTATGGGGAGGAGGTGGATTTAAACTGAAAGAGGGGAGATTTCAATTAGATCTAAGAAGGAAATTCTTCCCTCTGAGAGTGGTGAGGCACTGGACCAAGTTGCCCAGAGAATTTGTGGTTGCCCCATCCCTGGAAGTGTTCAAGGCCAGGTTGGATGAGGCTTTGAGCAACCTGGTGTAGTGGAAGGTCTCCCTGCCCATGGCAGGGGGTTTGGAACTAGATAATCTTGTCCTTCCCTTCCAACCCAAACCATTCTATATTCTGTGAAAAGCCAGGCTAATAACTGGGGCTGTTTGCGTAAGCCTGTGTATCAGAAATCCTGGCTTTGCACAGGATGGAGGGAAAAGAAAACTAAGGAAGTAAAACACAAACAAAAAAAACTCCCCAAAAAACCAAGGAAAGAAATAAATTAAAGAAAAACTTCTGCTTTTGTCAGAGTGAGATGTTGCCGGCAGGAATCAGCAGAGTTTGCATGGCTGATACTCCACCTGACTGTGTTTGGGCGCTGGTTTCTGTGCTCGTCTGCCCCGAGAGAGACAGCAGAAGGCAAAGCTGGGAGCCTGGGGTCATCCATGGCTCTGTGACCCTTTGGGAAGGAGAAGTTTGACACCTCTGCTCTCATCCTTGCAGGCTTTCCGGGTGCTGTCTGAGCCGGTAGCCGTACCGTCCCCCAGCCAGGACGCCCTGCAGCACCACCGGGCTTGGCGCTGCTCCACGGAGCCGGAACCCGCCATCTGTGGTGTCAGCAGGATCTGGGTGTTCGGCCTGAGGCGCAGGAAGGGGATTGCCCGTCGCATGGTGGACGTGGTCAGGTAGGGAGCTGGGATCTCCGCTGGGGTTTATCTTTGTTGGGAGGAAAACCGATGATTGCAGCAAAAAGTGTTTAGAAGGAACTTATGGAAAGGGATAAACTTGTATCATTCAGTAAGTCTGGAATCCCTGCTTCGTAGTGGAGGGATATCAAATGGACAGATGTTCTGTGTGTATCTAATATTTAAGTAATATTTGTATTTAAAATCTGACAAGCTGTTAAATGCTGGATTGTAACTGGAACACAGAGCTACACGGACTGGATTTTCCAAGAAAAACTGTGCTTTAGGGAAATTACTTTTTTTTTAACTGAACAAGTTGATGAGCCCACACACTTGAGTTTTGCCAGGGAGGAAATTCCGAGCTTTTCAAGCTTGGACTAAACTGGGAGAAAGACTTAACAACTTCCCCTCATCTGTTAATATGGACTGCCTTGAGGGGGAGCTTGGTAGCGCATGAGCCTGTAGTAGCACCTATCTTCTGTGTGTTTTATCTGCTTACTATACGTATATCAAATACAGACATAGAAAGTATAGGAGTATCTGTGTCTATATTTTCATATAGTCATCCATTATTGGATCTGGAGCTTGGTATTCTGAAAATTCATCAGCCAGTGTTTGGTCTCCACTTCCTCCTGTGGTCAGCGTTTGTCGTGTCACCTTCCAAAGCCATGGGACACATGAGCCAGCTGGACCTGGGTGACCTGTGGGTGCCCGTGAGAGTGCTGGTGCTGCCGTTGTGGACCTTGTTTGGGAACTGCTCCAAGATGTTTAACTGAAACCTCTGGGTTTCCGTGTAAAACTGGATTTGAGGGTTTTTATGCCTGGAGAGGGACTTTTTACAAGGGTATATAGTGATAAGACAAGGGGCAATGGCTTTAAAACTGAAAAAGGGGAGATTTCAATGAGATCTAAGGCAGAAATTCTTCCCTCTGAGGGTGGTGAGGCACTGGGCCAGGTTGCCCAGAGAAGCTGTGTCTGCCCCATCCCTGGAAGTGTTCAAGGCCGGGTTGGATGAAGCTTTGAGAACCTGGTATAGTGGAGAGTGTCCCTGCCCATGGCAGGGGGGTTGGAACGAGATGATCTTTGAGGTCCCTTCCAACCCAAACCATTCTATGATTCTATTCGGTCTTATGTTATCCTTCCTGCTAACTTTAAAATGCCTCTTGGTTCCTGATTATGCTGGAATCTGAGAGGGCAAGCTGGCATCTCACAATGATCTTCTCCGTTTTGAATGCAAAGTGACAGAGGAAATAACTCCCTGCAGAGGAGGGCTGGGGGAGAAAACATCCCTGTGGTGTGTTTTAGGAGTCGGATAAAGCAGCACACTGATAGCTCTGCTCTCTCTTTCAGGAGCACCTTCATGTACGGCTGTTACCTGAGCACTGATGAAATCGCCTTCTCTGACCCAACGCCGGACGGCAAGCTCTTTGCGATGAAATACTGCCAAACCCCCAACTTCCTAGTTTACAATTTTATCTATAACAACTGATTCGACTTGATTATTGCAAGTTGAGGTTTGTTCAAATCATCTAAAATAATTTGATGTTTAAATTGACACTTAAGTGTTGTTACCTGGCTAAACACTTTCTGCTGAGCGCTAGTTCTTCCTCCCCCTGTGAGCGAGCTGGGGGAGAGTGTGTCACTTTGTGTACAGAGTTGTGTTGTATTTTAGTGTATGCTGCAGAACCTTGCTTGGAGTTCAGGTAGGTTCGTTTCTTCTGAAACTAAATTTTATTGCAAGTAACTTAATTTCTTGAAAAGGTTTAATTAATATAAAGATACCTGTTTTCTCCCTGATGTGTGAATATGTAACTCTGGGCTCCCTGCAGTACCTTTAGTACCAGCAGTTGCTAAAATTTATTACGCACAGAGTATGAGATGTCTTAAAACGACTGATGGGTGGCAGGATTTCCCTCAGGTTTCAAGCCTGGAATCCTCATGGTGTTGTGCTGCAAGGGAAGCTGTCACAGGGCTCACCTGCTCAATAAAAGGTGTGAAACGCTGCTGCTTGAGCTTGTTTCTGTGCACGGAAGCACTCTCCTCATTTGAGAAGTTCAGAGGAGGAGGTAGCAGTGGCTGTGTGTGGGAGCAGGACAAGTATGTGCTGCAAAATCTTTGTTTCCAGCCAGTGGAGAGCAGGAATTTCCCTAACTCACAGGGTTTTATTTAAAAAAAATCCCCAAGGGACTTTTTGAGACCCTACACCCTCTTTTACCATGGTACAATTCCATGTGACAACTGGTTGTGTCAGGCAACCTTTTTCTTTAACTTGCAGCTGCTCTCCCTTGGTGAAGTTCTCCTATTACCTGGGGGTAACCTCAAGAACACAAATACTTTACGCAAGAGCCCTCAGCAAAGTTTGCACATACCCAGCAGGGACACACACACTCCTTAGGAAAAGAAAAGCACCACTTTCACACAGAAATTAAGAAAACAGAAATTAACTTTTAATATCTCAGTCATAAAACTGTTGTTGAAACCCTTCCCTTAATGTTTGGGTTGAAATAAACCACCCGTAACCTGACAACTAAAAGCAAAAAAAAAAAAATATTGCACAGAGGATGTAGCTTATTTAAAATCTAAGAGGGGGTGGTAGAGGATTGCTCTAAAAACAATCTGTCCTTAAACCAGAAGTTAGCATTTAAACGAGTTTAGGCTCTACTTTTAAGTACAAAGAGCAGGTTTCACATATTAGAGTAGCCTTACTCTTCTAAATTAATCATCTCTGCTCCTGTACCCCTGCCATGGAGCTTAGGGACATCCCTGAGCTCCGTGGTAGGGGTACAGGAGCTTGAAGTGCTTTTACTCCTGGGCCAGACTTGCCTCCAAGGCTTCCACAATGCACGCGGCTGAGGGACGCTTCTTGGGGTCCTCGCTGGTGCAGACAGAGAAGAGGTCGATCATGCACTGGTAGGAAGGGTCCAGTTCCTCCATGTTGAGGGCTGGGCGGGTTCCCAGGGCTGCATAATAGGTTTCCTCATCGAAGCTGTCTTCATCAAAAGACTCGTCTGGATGAGAAGGTGGAAAAGGTGTTGGGAAGGGTGCTGGAAACTGCTCTGCTCCTGTGGGTTGTGGGGATTTGAACCCTGGCTGCACCTCATCCATCACAGAATGGTTTGGGTTGGAAAGGACCTTCAAGATCATCCAGTTCCAGCCCCCCTGCCATGGGCAGGGACAATTTCCACTACACCAGGTTGCTCAAAGCCTCATTCAACCTGGCCTTGAACACTTCCAGGGATGGGGCAGACACAGCTTCTCTGGGCAACCTGGCCCAGTGCCTCACCACCCTCAGAGGGAAGAATTTCTCCCTTAGATCTCATCAAAATCTCCCCTCTTTCAGTTCAAAGCCATTGCCCCTTGTTCTGTCACTACACACCCTTGTCCAAAGCCCCTCTCCAGCTTTCTTGTAGCCCCTTTAAGTACTGGAAGGCTGCTAGAAGGTCTCCCCAGAGCCTTCTCTTCTCCAGGCTGAACAGCCCCAACTCTCTCAGCCTGTCCTTATAGCAGAAGTGTTCCAACCCTCTCATCATCTTTGTGGCCTCCTCTGACCCGCTCCAACAGCTCCATGTCCTCCTTATGTTGAGAGCCCCAGAGCTGAACGCAGCACTGCAGGGGGGGTCTCATGAGAGCAGAGCAGAGGGGCAGAATCCCCTCCCTTGATCTCCTGCTCACACTGCTTTGGATGCAGCCCAGGACATGGTTGGCTTTCTTTCAGCCCAGTGCACATTGCTGGCTCATGGTGAGCTCCTTATCCAGCAGTACCCCTGAGTCCTGCCTTGCAGGGGTATGTGGTGGGATGTGACTTTCATGTCAGCTTCACTATTCCTTTATTAGCTCTAATTACTGCCTGGGCTACATCCTTACTTTCCCTTAGACTTAAATTGCTTATTTTGCCCAGCTGTATCAACCCCAGCAGAATAACTGAGTCACCCCAGCCGGGAAAAAGTTCTGCAGCCAGGAGATGCTGAGAGCAGGAGAGTGAGAAAAATCCCTCCGCTGCCTGGAGACCGATTTAGAAAACAAGAGTCAGCCTGCGGGTCCTCGCCAGCACCACAGCTGCAGCAAGAGGAGTTTTCCCTGCACAGCCGATATGATTTTTAGCTTTATATTGCTCCAAGGTGCAGATCTGCCCGCAGGCAGCTATAAGCACCCCTCTGCCTTGTCTGCTCGCTGGAACTCTGAACGAGGGGGTGGCCAAGAAGGCCAACAGCATCCTGGCTCGTAACAGAAATAGTGTGGCCAGCAGCATGAGGGAAATGAGCACACCTCAAACACTGTGTTCAGTTTCTGGCCCCTCCTGACAAGTTGCTCACCAGTAAGGTATAGAGACAAACCTTCGTCATCGGGGTCACCGTCCAGGTTGAGGTGGGGCACGGAGAGGGTCATCATTTCCCAGAGAGTCAGCCCAAAAGGGAAGATGTCAGCCTTGTCGGTGATCACACTGTCATCCTGCAGAGCTTCCTTGGGCTTCCAGGGCTCGGTGCCGATGTAGTACATCTCCGGGTCGCTCACTGGAAGGAAACAACGTGGTTTGGGTGTCTGCTGGGACTTGCAGATGCAGCGGGACACGGTCACAGCTCACCACACAGCAGGGGTTGAGCCTGTTGGTTAGCTTCGGTGCGCCAAAGCCACAGGGCAGGATCTTTTGGGGGCCTGAACCCATTTTTCTTTCACATCTGTGTAGTCTCAAATCCCCTGTGACCTATGACTTGCTCTGCGAGGAGGTTTCATGGTTAAGTGTCCAAGGTTATGCAGAACACGGACAGAACTGCAGAGCTGTGCCCTGGGGCTTAACCCTGCTATAAGGGGGAGCAATTCCCTGCATTTTACCCAGGTGTTTCCCTTCTTCAGCTTGGCTTCCCCTTGCGGGGCAGGACCAGGGTGACAGGGCAGGGCACCTTCCCCTGACAAAACCAGGGGACGAAGCCAACTCTGGGGCTTACAAGGCTCCATCAGCTTCCACCACAGAATGCCTCCTACCAGCCACAGGGTCCTTCTGTTTTTGTTACTCAAGGACTGCCCTGGTTTAACCTGGCCAGCAACTAAACGCCACACAGCCGCTCGCTGACCATCTCCCACCCCCAGGGTACGGGGAAGAGAATTAAAGGGTAAAAGGGAAGGAGATTGTATCCCTGGAAGTGTTGGTTGGATGGAAGGCCAGGTTGGATGAGGCTTTGAGCAACCTGGTGTAGTGGAAGGTGTCCCTACCCATAGCAGAGGAGTTGGAACTAGGTGATCTTTGAGGACCCTTCCAACCCAAACCATTCTATGATTCTATGATATGGAATACTCCATTGGCGAATTTGGCCCTCAATCCTAAGTCTAAGTTCAAATCATAAGAGGAGTTGGGGGCCCTTTGTCCTGGCCATGCATTCCCCTAGCCTCTTGTGCTCCTGCACAGTGGCAAAACATGGGAGGCTGAAAGGTCCTTGATGGCTCAGCACCAACTATCAACATCAGTGTGCTGTCAGCATTCTTCTCATAACAAATCCCAGACTAAATCCAAAACACAGAGCTATTCTAGCTGCTAAAAAGAAAAACTAACTCTGTTCCAGTCAAAACCAGGATGAGCCCAAACCAAGTTCTCATCACTTTGTTCAGTTTAATGCCCCTTCGATCTTAATTAGCCCTGGGAAAGTGAAAGCGATCAGCTCTCAGCCTGACGAAGGAAACACCAGCTCTGACTCGATCCCTTATATCCCTCTCCCAATTACAGGCACTGCTCCTAAGCGGAGGGACCACGTTTCTCACCCCGCCCCCAACTCTCCCTAGCAAATTCCCGAGCTGTCAGCAAATCTCAGCTATTTGAGAAACTTTTCTTTTGCAGGGCTGATCTTC